AATACTTTATGCCCTCTTCGAAGATGCGATCTGTGTGTGCAAACTAGTCTGCACGTGTTTAAAGACCTTTTGAAGATCAGGCCCTAAATGTTCCAAGGATTGCCTGAAGTCACATCCAACCTACAGGAAAACAAGACTTGTAATATCTTCTAGATTGTGGAAGGGAGAATGGTCACCAGCTCAATGGCCCAAGGAGCTTTGCTCTCAATCATTGCTGCTAGTTATGAAATTCCACTTAAGCAGTTATTGACCTTTTTCTCCAAATCTGTGAAAGATGTTAAAAATGTGGTTGTCTTTTTAGATAGCACTCTGTCTCTTGAAACTCTTTAAGTATGTGGTTAGACAGAGTCTTTATTACTTAAGAAACAATCTGACATATTTTGCATCAAACAGAGAACTAGAAATGAACAGTTATGGTTTAATCTTATCTCGTTTGGACTACTGCAACGTTTTTGTTTTTTTTACTTGTTTAAATATTGCATATCTAGATCACTGTCAGATTGTGCAAAATGGGAAAGCAAAAAATTTCACAAGGGCTTAGAAAAGGACGAAACGTCCCCATCATTTCCTTGCTGCACTGGGCGCTGTTCATTTTAGAGTCTAGTTTTACGTGCTGTTTTTTTTTTTTTTTTTTTTTTTACATTTAGGCAATCAATGGCCAAACACATGAATATTGTGGATATTGTCAGGTTGTGTAGAGGTTTTGAGGACTCAAATGCAGGGAGGAGTTGGCACAGATGAGTTTGGATGATTTCATAAAAATCCTAGGGGAACAGAGGCAAAACTCCAAAATCCAAAAATACCGAAAACAAAAACCAATAACGTAAGGGAAAATACTTGACAGAAGCTGGAGACTACAAGACAACAAAACAAACTTCTACAACACACAAGAAACCAGCACCGAATGAAGATTCTGGTGTTCTTTTAAGCCCAGCACTATGATTATAAAGATTATTTTCACCTGTGTAGGCTACCCAAGTTCTCAACAAAGATCCTCTAGGGTAGGGATGCACAACTCGCACTAACCCACACTCAGGAACCCTGACAGATATATTGTCTTTACTGTAGCTTCCTCTTACTTCATCTAACCAGTGACATTAGTCCCAAAGCTCTGGAACTCCCTTCTACTCGCTCTGTGCTCCAAAGTATTTATTGACTCTTTCAAGAACACCTCAAGGAATACCCTACTCATTTAGACAGTATTTCACTTGAGTTGCTATTGTCATTTCTTTTATCTTTTCTCCTGCCATTAATTTGCTTCTTGGGAAACACTGTAATGTTTATCTTTGAAAGGTTCTTATAATTAGAAGTTACTTACTTACCAGGCCTGTGCTCTAACTTTAATCAACAGAGCCCAATGTTACCCTTAATTTGCTGTAGCCTCAGTCATTATCTTACCAACCAACACTTCCATTTCCTGTTACTGAATGGTCTAAAGAGGGGTCCAAGTTAACTTTCTTTTCTACAGCTTACTGATCATTGTTGTCAAAGTTTACCAGAATATTATGAATATATCAAATAACTAGAACTAGAATTAGTCAATTAATAGGTCATTCAAATCAAGAAAAAAACTAATTAATTATTATCAGTTGAATGATTATAACTGTCATTTGCTTACTGACCAGGGTTTTAGCCTCTTACCTAAAAGGTTGGACTCCTGAATCCGGCTGTTAAAATTTCAGTTGTCTTTCACCAATTTAGTAATTTAGACTATGGCTACCGGCAACGTTATTATTCACCAACCAAATAAATGTGTCTCTGTTCATTTGGATGCTACTGAAAGAAGAGTGAATCCAGCTGAAGTGATAAACCATTCACTGTATAAAATAATGGGCAATGGGTTAAAATACAGAGTTCTACCTGCATTGCTGGCTGATGCACCTCCACCCAGTGCCTTGAACAAGTGTGCCTTGTACACCCCTGGGTTTGAGCAGATGATGGATGTTAAGCATTCAGTTAAACTCTTTAAACATCAACAGTTGAATGAGAAAGCTTATATCCAATAAAACAATAACACGACTGTATTTCTACCTAGTTCACCCAAGCAGAGCTATTATTATACATCAGATGAAAGGGAAAGGGGAAGGATGATGTTACTGTTTTGGTTCGGTGGAGTGAGGGCCATCGGCTCAGTTCCGTTTTCTGCAGACCCTGTCTTTATTCCAGTCCAGTCCGTTCATCCAACAGCAGCTCAAAGAGATTTGGATCAATCTTATGCAATATTAAGAGAGGCAATTTTGCAAGGGGCTTAGTTTTATAACTCAAGTTAGCACGGGATGTCTCGTTTTTAGCTAGGGTGGTTAACTTGTAGCCACAGCCCCCAGCAGCATATCCTCGGTGGTGCAGCTCCGTCTCTCCTTTTCAGGCAGTCACAGGTCTGGTGGCTTCTAATGGTTCCTTTGGCCAACATTGATTGGGGCCCCGTTGTTCTTCTCTACAACACAAACACTGCGTTCAGCTCCTTCTAAATTGTAGGAAAAAGGCAGTCTGACTCGGTCCAGCGAGCGCAGACTTCTCCGGAGGGATTTGCTGGCTACTTAGTGTAGCCTTCAGCTAGATGCTGAAATTTATCTCTGCCACATCCTGCCTGGGCTCTTGTGTTCATCTGAGGCAATAGTATCATTGGTGCCCCAGTGTTACTACTGTAAGTGTAAGCCAAATATGCTTTCCAGTACTCTTCCTAGTTTTTTTGGGGCCACACAGTCCCCTTCCAGATATGCTCCAGATATGCCACCAGGCTGTTCTTCAGAACCGTTTGTTTGTTGTTGTTTTGGTCCTCCCTAACCAAACTGAATGAGATTATCAAGAAAATAAGATCTCCGACTCACAAAACCACCTGCGGTGCCTCTAGTGCCCACGTTGTTTACATTCATAACCCTTGGTGATATCAATCACCACAGGATTTATTTCATTGTTATGCAGAAAGCATAAAGTTCTGCATAATAACACACCCCCATCTCTCTGTACGTTCATTACCCTCACTGTCTATTCTTACCATGAAGTAAGTGGCTAATTGAGTGCATAACATTTCAAATTAAACATCTTAAATGCAGAAGCCATAATATTAAAATCCACACATAATCTTTTTCCACCATAAACCTCTACCTGCAATATGTCCTTTTAATAACAAATATTGGTTCACGATTTAACCCTTATCTGACATTTGAAACTCACATTAAACCCTGTTGCAATACCACACTCTATAATCCACTTCACTTTCTGTTGCTAAATACTTACTTTCATATCCTAAAGACATGGCTACTAACAGTCAATATTTTTACTTAGCTCTTTTTAAACACAACCATAAACTGCAATCGGTTCTGTCCAGTGTACCTAGATGCTGATGAAGTAAAGAGAAAGGACCCCATCACCCAAATTTTTAAATCCCTCCAATGTTTTTTTCATCTGAATTCAACATTCAGTAAACTGTACACACAATGTTTAAGGCAAACTATATAGTTCCAAAGAAAATTGTTCCACATGCAGCTAAAATCTATGTAAACCTCTTCATCTGAACAAAGATAATGAATAAATATTTAGGTTAATGTTTCAGTTTTAGTTATGCAATTAAAATAATTCTAACCAACAACAGGGAAAGTTCATTCTGCTTTATGCAACACCGGAAACAAAGGCTGTGTGCATTTTTACACAATGTATGTAAACATCTGGTTTTAACTGTATGAAATATGAAAATTATGTTATGATTTTCTCTCCTGCAATAATGTTTTTTGTAATAGCTGCTGTGCTCTACTAATTCAATATTAGAGGAGTTGTAAGAGTCTATATGGTATTTAGGGTATTAGTGTCACCAACTTTTATCAGTCTCCTAAAGAGTTCTGTTACAAACCTTATTAATACTGTAGTAAGTCAATCAGAGAACCATGAAAACTAATTCCATGCTATCGCAGATTTCCACTGTGCCTTTTTCCATTGTAACAACAAGGTGTTAAATGTTCGTTACTAAGGTTTATAGAATAAACAAGCTTCTTTTACTCTAGCTTCTTTTCCTCGCCTCATTAACACTGTTGATAAGGTTAAGTATGTTTAGGTGACTGAATTAATAGTATTGCACATAGTTAAAATGTTACAACAAGGAATGCTTTAGAGTGAAAACCAATGCTTTAGGAAATTGATCTTTTTGTATGCACAGCAACAGTGAAACATAGCCACCCACATTGCAAACCTTCATTTCTGCCCACATATCTACAGTAGGGTTTCTTCTAATATAATGCACAATGTTTTCTCCAATGCTCTTCTCTGCACAGAGCATTAGGTTTGCAAAATTGAGAGTGCATCATTTAGAGTCTGTTGGCCTGCATTCAATCTCTGATTACCACATGTATTTAATGAGGCTTAAATGTCAACAGTTTTGTAGTAAAAACAATGGAATGATTACCTTTGTGTCAGAAGCTTAGTTCTATATTATCTATGACTGTTTCACTGAATTATACAATGCAAAACTACCCATAATGATCATATATTTTGATTTTAATTCTGTGAATTTAGAATATGATACAGTAAATTGGATTTTTACCCATAATATAATAAACAGTAATAAAAGGCCACATTTTCATTGATACCTCTTCAGATTGTTAGAATTAAAATCAGTCATACCCAGTGTCATAACAGGTTGATTTCTGTGGAATGGACTAGCCAACTTAAAATATTTCCTGAGTAGTTTGACTTATATTCAATATAATTTATATTCTATAATAGTATCACACCAGAGATTCATAAAACAGACTCGTGTCAAGCTACCAATCAATATTAAAGTTTACAGTTTACTCCACAGTATGCAACAAAATATCATAATTTGCAAGTGAGAGCAAGAATGTACCACAAATATGCTTTATTTTCTGCTCCATGCAGATGTTAGCTTACTGAAATGAAATCCTAATGGCAAATATGAACCATGCTTGGATTCTAATTTTTTCAGGCATTCCTATCACTACTTTTATATCAAATAATTGTATCTAACTCTATTTCCTGTTCTGTTTCAGGGGTAGAAGGCATGGAGTGCTCCCTTCCCATGGATGGCAGACGCGTTTCTCTGACGCAGCTTTCAAAGGACAGCTTTCGCGAGTGCCAGGCCACTTTGACTCTAACAGACCTACTCATCATTATTTTCTCTGGCATCTCTGTGTCTGTTGTGGCCATAATGACCAGCTTCTTTTTGGCTTCAACTGTTCATTGCTTCCAGCGCTGGAGTAAGGGCACCAAGGGAGATGAAGAAGAGAGTGAGGAGTGAAGAGAATTTTGATCTAAGGACCTATATTGTCCGAGTAGCTTCTTCAAACTAGTGGAGGACACTCAAGACAGTGTGTGGTAGGTGGTGTTTCCTAACTGGCAAAGCTCCAGAACCCTTGGATCATCATGGATCGGTACAGTTGGAGCCAAAAGATGAATGAACAATATTATATTAATAAATGGCATCTAAAATGAATGACATTTGTAAGTATACTATTCCATGTGCAAAAATGCTATAACGGAGATCATATTTTTCTTTGTGAAAGTCAAGGTTTTTGACTCGGTGTCAAATAGTGTAAGGTAATATAATGAGGCCAAGACTTATATATTAGAAATATATATTCAACTGGATTAGATGAACATTTTGTTAGAGAGTTATCATTTTCATCTGAGAAAAATACTAAATATATCCATGCTGAACTTTCAGCTTTAGAATATTAAATTCTATACAGAAAGATCAAAATATTTGTGAATTTTTAAATCACATTTAGTGGGGGAAAAAATTAAAAATAAATATATATATATATATATTTAATGCACAACACTTCACTGAAAATTTGTTCCAAAAGGATGTCATAATGACCGGTGACCTCAATATCCAACTGCTTGTGACTTGATATGCTGGCATATCGGATCATTTAACAGTGTTCTGTCTGGATTGCCTCATTTGTTTATATTAAAATGTTGTTTTGCAGAACTGAGCAAGATTAATGGTATAGCTCTTGTTGAATCGATTATAGACATAAAGGGTTTGGCAGACAGGAACATCTTTAAGGTGGGTCTTCTCAAATATTTAGCAGTATTCATTATATAAATGCAAATTGATGTACAAACGTAAATTGTATTTAATCAATGTAGAAGTCAAAAGGATAGCATATTCCTTAGACATATGACTGTAAACTATGTAGAGAAAGATATTTCTGAAATATATAGTCTTGCAAATGATGGCAAAGTATGATATTAAATTAAATCTATTTAGTTACTCTGTCGATGCACTTTAAACAGTAAACCTAATTTTGGCAGGTATCTCATTTAGAATAATACTGTCTTTGTTTGCCAAAGATTAGGTTTCAGGAGTGGAAAATTGATTTGGTAGGACTTTGTTGTTGCAGATGAGAAACTTAGAAAGAAAGAAGTAGCTTCATAACAGAAACCAACTTGCACTTTGTAAAGACCCTTTGTACTCAAAAAATAACCATCTCCAAAGATTCACAATTTCTTCCTGTCAGTCTATAGCACCTTTCAGGTCAGAGTTCTGTGATAAATACATATTTCAAAGATAAATTTAGAGCTAACGTTTAGATCTGACTATGTAATCTATCCAGCTCATGGGGCTCCATGCCTTTCAAAACATACAGCCAAAAGCATGGATGTTAAGGGGCAAGGTGTATAAAGAAGTAACCCAAAAATATAATAAGGTGTCATTAATTTCAACAATACTCATTAAATATGGTTTAAAAAGAATTTCATGCACCTAATTTTTGGGTTACTTCTTTGTTGAGATTAACATGCTAAGTACATTTGGTGCTTCAAGAAAAAAAAACAAAATCTGTGTACATCATCCTTAGTACATTCGTGTCTGTGTGTGAGATTATGCTACACAACATAATTATTGAACATAATCTATACTGGAGGATTAACACAGCATTCTGCAGCTCCCCCTTTTCATCTTAGCTCAGTGGGCCTCATGCAACAACTTTTTTGTATTATAAATTTCTACTACCGTGGGCTCCTATGACAATAACACATCAGATTCAATAAATGTTCTCCAGTAAAATTTTGTAAATGATCCTCGTATACATGATGCAGTCCACCTGTGTGTGAGTGAGAGCGTGTTCATGAGAAGGAAAAATCTGCATTATTACCCGATAACACCATGTAAGGCTAGTGAGACCATTCACAAAAATTGCATTGAAGATGAAAAGGAGAGACTACCATTTTGGAGAATGAGGTTCTGCTGACCAAGAGCTGAGAAGCAGAATTAAAGGACCAGTAAAAGTGAAGAGGTGGGGAATAAATCACAACAGCTTTAAAAGAAAACATTTTTTTGGTTGCACTGTTACAGAAATAAAAATAAATTAAATAATAACACAAATCATCTTTTCTGAAAATGGTGTTAAAATCATGTTTAGCAAAAACGAAAGTCAATGGTATTAGTGGTACCAAAGTACCAGTGGAGGCCAGAAGTAAATTGATATAATTATTAACTATAACTTTTATGATAGAAATGCTTGATATGAGTTTACCATTAACCAAAATGACACAACATCCTGCAAAATCTCCCTTTATGGCACATGTTGGCTATTTATCTCCAGTGAACTGAATGCATACATTAGAAGAGTTTCAAGCAGCAAAATGTTACTGAATATCTTTTCATAACTTTCTATCAATTTTTTTGGATGTTACTTCAAAAGTAGCTTGATCCCCCATAGAGCTCATTGACTGCACTTTCTTTTAACAAAATTACAACAACTCAAACCAGCATCCCCTGGATACCCCCCGGTCCCCTGGAACTGCCAGCTGCTACTGTGCTGACCAACAGTTCTGTCATCAGTGGATTAAATAAGGATTTATAATTGCAACATTGCATAGCATATGATGATGTAGACAAATAAAGCAGACAATTTCTTCTAAGTATCAGCAAATCTGGTCATTTAGTGAAAAACTAGGTTTGGCTAGCAGTTGAGTGATTGCACAAGAATCCTGCTTCAACTTTGGAGCGCTTGAAAGATGTGTTCATACTTGAGAGAAGATTAGAAATTGGAGAAAAATCATGAATGCGATATCACTCATGCAAACAATTTAAGAACAGATTTGTTCATACAGATGCTTCTTACATGAGGCCCAATGACTGCATCTTCCACAGAGGATAGCAGAAAAATCGTCTGTGGACCCGATTCCATCTCAGCTCTTTTATGCCTTGTTTGTGTGGCAAGATTTTAAATTAGTCCAATGATTTTTAAAAAACCTAACAGATCCCACACATGGCGATTAAAAAAATCATAGATATAACAGATTTTTTTACTACATCTTGTGATGTGTGATACAGAATCCATTCAGGAACACTGAGATGTCAGACCTGTCTGACATTCTTTATAACCTGTTGGAGAAAAAAAACAGAGTTCAAAGTAAAAACTATTTTCAAAGAAGACAAACCAATGGTGATACTTGTTCAACTAATTTTATGAGAGAAAGATAATTGGTTCAATTAGAGGAGACAGAACAACCAGGGTGCTCTGCTTGCTAAACTGGTGAGTTTTCTGATTGGCTACTTGCCAAATCGATAGTTTGCATCCTTGTTTGCAGTTTGGGACACCATTCGTGCTCAGATAACGGGCCAAGAATATCCAACATGTTGGATATCCCTGATTTGAGGTCAAGAGAGGAGCCAATGACCTTACAAGCAGATATGATCAATCATAACACGCCACAAACTCTGGTATTATCTGATATGATCATTTTAACACCATTACGATAATCAGGGCTACCGGAAATGGGAACAATTTTCACAATTATCTTGCTGTGTGAAAAAGTCATTAGCTGATCATGAAGAACACCTGCAGAAGACTTTTCAGTCACAGGCTGATGGTCTGACCTGAAAGGAGCTTTTGTCTTAATCATAAGTAATTACACATTTCAGTGTTTAATCCTGATTTAAAATAATAGGCCACCTTGCATTATAAAGCTATTTATTTTATGAAAAGTTAGCTCATTTGAGAAATGGGTTGTCTTGAGATTATAATAATTGTGTTTTTTTCATTAAGTTTTTATTTAGGTCGTTCTGCATAAGATCCATCAAATTTATATATTTAAACCTTCTGAATTGATATACAGAGATATTCTCAATTTAACATTTCCTTAACAGATTCTGGAGAAGTTCAACACACTCCAGATCTAATACTCCTAAAAACCTTGTGTTTTCTTTTTGGAATTTTATGAAGTGTTTTGAAATCCTCATTAATAAGGATTTGAAATGCACAAAGGATGATATGTAATTATTTGTTTTTCGTGTTCTTGTAATTCATTGGTAATTCAGCAAACTGAGATGTAGCAAAAAGAATGTCAAACAGTGGATATATAGAAACAGCCATCCATATATAGTGATCATTTCTGTGTTGGCAACCTAAGATAAAAAAGGGATATAAAATTATTTTTTCTCTTTATAAAGAGTTCATACCCTAAGTGTGCAGCAGTTAATTAGCACATTTTGCAGAAATGGCAAACTATAAGAGTGGCCTTATTCATTGTTGTTGTTTTATGAACAGACATTAAAAATCACTCTTTCAAAGGATGTCTCATATCAATTGTTGTAACCTAGCAGTAATATTGATGTCTGTATTCAAATGTGTCATGTCTCACATCACTAACTAAAAATGGCACTGTAAAAAAATGGTGAAATTTTAACGTATGGATGTTGTGTATTGCCGGAACATGGTACACACTGATGTCCCAATGCAGAACAAAAATAATAGAAACTGACCTTTGATTAACCCCCATTTCTGAAATGTCCATTAAGGTAACAGGTTTGTCAGCTTTTTAATGCGCCTTTTTAATGACTAAAGCCAAACGATGAGAAAGAGGAAAGACAAGGCTAGAGTTTGCATCACCATTTACTTCCTGTCTATACAGAGAGTGCTTCCAGATGCAATTTTAAATCCCCTATTTAACAAAACATAATGCTTAGGAAGATTAATAAAGGAAGGTATGACCACAACGGCACCAGCAACATTTAAATATAACCAGCATGAAATGCTAGTAAAATCAAAACAAAGCCTATTGAGCTACATATGGAAATTTATTAACAAACAAACTTTCTCCAAACTACAGCAAATCTGCTCAGATTTTTATTTTTTTTTTTTTTTGTTTAAACATATTTATCTCAATATAGCACTAAAATTCATAGCTAAAGAAAATAAGTCAATTAAGCAAGATAAGAAGCAAAAATCTTCCTTTAAATTCACAAAAAAATCTGATGTAATTTGTATTATTTGAATTTATTTACACATAATAACCTTTTTTTATATTCGGATGCACAAACTTAAATGAAGGGATCACAGGGAGAATTTTTTATACATATCATTATTATTTGCAACTACTATGTAGTTATTGTATATTGAAAAATACTTTGTTAGATGACTTGTTAAAATGAAACATATTAGCATGAAATTTTACTTTCTCTTGTTTTATTACCAATTTAAGTACATTAGAGCATGCACTGTTAAGTTACCACCTGGATAATTTTCAGATTCATGTCTATTTTTCTATTACAGCTTCCAAACTGAAGCATTATTTACATCATTTGTTCCCTGTGTAACTATCTGGCATCACACAGCCCTGGGAAATAAAAACAGTGGTGGCTGCTTTTGTGCAGCTTGTCTTGCGTAAAACACCAAGATTCTGTTTGTGATTTGTCAGACAAATGTCAGAATGGGTCAGTTCTAAATTATTTTGATGGAGAAGTGAGTGATGATGCTGTTGCTGCAGAATGCATTTCCAAATGTCAAACAGACACTTTCAAACAGACTGTATGTGTAGCTGTATATTGATGTTTGGTTAAAAACTATGATAGTAATAAAACCCTTTCTTCTGTCCACATCTGTGTTTGCTCCAAGTAAAATGTGTTTACACAATGCTCACATGGAAAATCAAGGTAGCATTTGACAAGATGTAGCACTGGCGGCATTTTTATGTTGTGTTTAATATGTTGTATTCAGCAGGGATGAAAAAGGTATTGGTGCAGTATGTCCAACCTACTGTTTTGGACAACAGTTGAAAAGATGATTTTAATAAAGTGTCAGAGGGATAATGTGGGAAAGAACTCTTTATTTAATGTGATTTTTTTTTCTTCTTGTCGCTGGGATATATGGATTTGGATTGTCACAGCAGCAGATAAATAACCCCCATCTGTATATACAGTATAGCACAGTGAGCCATCTCACAGGGCACTGTTGTCACAGTGTGGATATGCAAATAGCAGAAATATATTTGGAAAAGGTGCTAGAAAAATGACTTAGATGTAAAAAAAAAAAAAAGACTAATTCACCATGTATCTCGAGACTTTGTGGAAATATCTTTGATTTATTCAGTTTGTGCAGTGCAGAGGAACAATACAATATATCCATTGCCATTACCTCTGACTTTAAAATTGGGTGTGTAGAGTTTCTGTTAGGTAGTTCTCTAGGATGACAAATGTTTGTGCATATTATTTATCCTGTAACTAAAAGAATTTATATTGTATACTATTATGAGCCCTTGGTCATTTATAGATTGGTAGATAATATAAATATTTAAAGCTACATAACAAATATTTAAAGCTACATAACATGGATCTCTTTTTTAAGGTCTGAAGTCAACATACTCAAGGACAAAAATAACTATTCCCCTAAGGAGATGGAGGGCTGGCTTGACACTGAGCAAAATGACAGTACTCTGCAGAACGGAATCATTTAAAGGAATTCCACTAAGGAATTACAACACTGGATGAGGATTATAATACATAGAAGACATCTTTATGCTGTGCTCATACACCACGGAAGAGAGCTCCACGGTGATGGTGGTCGTGATGAGGATTCTCCTACAACCATTTACCTCATTTGGTTGTCATGGCTACACAGCCGAAGGCCCATGCTCTTGGATGCTGTGGCAGGAAGAAAAAGAGTGAGGGGTGAAGGGATGAAGGGAAGCACAGCCCTGCAGAGTGACTCTCTTGCCTGTTTCTGCTCATAAACTAAAGAGACAATCAAATAATAAAAGACATGTATACACCCCCCTGCCACACACACACACACACACACATATAAATATAATTTGTATATAAAAAATAATATGTATTTATGAGAGCAAAATACTATCCCAATTATCATGACATTGTGCAGAAGTATAATTACCTCTTGATAAAATACTACCATAATTCTGATACTACAACTACTACACCCACTACTACTAATAATAATATTAATGACAATACTAACAATTTTAATGATGATAATAACAATACAATACAGATCAATTCGGCCATATAAAATGGAGATTACATTTAGCAGAGATAAATTGCACATGACCAACAGATTTTCAAAAGTAACATAGCAGTATTTGAATAATAATATTATTTGTTTACGGTATGTCTTTGGGGTTTTGCTGCTTTTTGTGCAAGTGAGCTTCCTATAACAGAGAGGATCTTTGCAGGTGGCAGGGCCAACCCATATTGCTGCATACCTGAGATAATTTCTCAATCAAGACTAGCATGTATATAATATTCTATTGCTGGCAATACATTGGACTTTAACAGTGAGGTTAAATTATTACTCTGTATGAAAACAGCATCGACAGAATACTGCCATAAGTCAGCCAATATATCAATTAATAAATCAATGAAATGTATAAGCAGATGAATACTGTTACTGCCATAGAATTTGTTTTTTCATTTGCTTTGCTAAGATAGAAAATAATGGAACAGAATACAATAGAATAGAACACAACACATGAAAGGTTGGCCACTAAGCTCAACAACAGATTTCCAAAAGTGATTGAGCTTTGTTCTTGTTTGACTGAGAAGTCAGTGTATTAATTTTTGTTAAAAAGCTGACTGACCATGGATAGAAACTCTCTCTGTGTCTGACCTGCATTTTAACTGTCAGAGGTAAGCAAGTAGGTAGGAAGTGAACAGCACAGAAAGAAAACCAATCCCCACAGAGGAAGCTTTAAATGAATAATGAGCCAATGACTTACTGTGGAATCAGAATTTGAGATGCAAACAGCATAAGGGTCAGATTTCAAAGTTCAAAAGCGACAACAGCTAATGTCCCACTGTGTGCCAGTAACCCAAAACACTACAATTACTATATTCGGAGAATTAAGGAACAATGGAAAGGGTGGTTTAACTGTCGTTACTGAATGCTGTTTCACTATTTGCCATTAGAGAATTTAGTCTTTTACTTTTTTACCAAGACAATTATTATAAACCTGAATGACACCTGTTTATATATCTGATTTTCCTTTCGCATATTTATTTTTTGACCATTCTTTTGTGAGATTAATGTAGTATGTTGATTCAATTTTCTTTAAATACAGGGTGGGGTGTGTTCTTCAATGGACTCAGGAGAGATATCACTCTGACATAGTTGTGTTTTGACAAATTAATTTAGTGTAGTAAACATATTAAAATTAAATCAGAAACAAGTTAATTGCTAGCTGCAAGTACATCAGGGAATAGATCTTTGTTTTTTTTTGTATACTGACTCACTAATGAGGTAAATATGCACCACATGAATAAACTGATGTGCAAGAAAAGTACATTTACATACGGTGTCATCACAAACAACATATAAGAATTGGTCTTCATTGATGACATCAACAAACAGTGAAGGAAGCAATGAATCTAACTTATTGTCCAGTAAACTATGCCATATGTTTAGAAGTACATTTTACAAGTTTCTGATTAAGCATTATTTTTGCCAAAAAAATAATGACAGCTGTGATATCAAATGATAACATATCACTAATTTGAAAATCTGTCAGTTCAATGAGATAAAATTTTAAAGCAAATGACTTCAGTTTTAAACCATTAAATTCAGTTTTATCTATCTGCTTATCCGTTAGCATCAGGGTGGGGCTTGTGCCAGCAGTCTCTGGGCTAAAGGTCGGTGTGGTTGGGAAATTTAGACTTCTTTTATTTCATACATTGAGTTCTGCTATTTAATTTCTACTCCGTCTGTTTCACCTGCAAAACCATAAAATGTCTGAGTGAGGAGTGTTTGTGGACAAGAAATACTTATTACCATAACAAGCCAGATCCTTTCTCAAGGTTTATTCATAACATGTTACTGTTTAACCCAAGTGTCTGTAATTTGTTTTGACTACTTTAAGTAAGGGAACAGCTCTGTCTAGAGCAGAACAAGGCTGTGAGGGTACTTAAGTCGTTGGGAAGTCATATTTAAGTGTCAAATCATTCTGGCTTAAAAATGTATATAAATGTACTCTTTATCAGCATGTTGTCCCAAAAGATATAAAATTTCTATTTAAAAAAAATCCTGTCTTAAAATCTGTGTGTTTTTTTCGTTATTTTATGCAGGCCAGTTAGTTATACATCCGCTTGTACACCTAAATTTGGCCAATCATATATCAACGGTCATCTGACAATCAAATTTTTTTGGTCATAGTATCTTGATTCATATGTCGCAGCTAATATATGCAACAGTTGAAATAAGAAACATTTACTATACCATTGAGTTCTGTCCCAGTGTTCATGGGGATGGACGTCTGTGTCTTCGTCAGGCGTAGAGCTAACAGAACTGGCAGCGTTGTGAGGCAAGGGCTCAAACATGTACGGCTGTAAGCCTTTTACACCAAACTAAGCTTTTCCCACCATGGCGTCCTCTTCCACATCAACTTCGTCCCCGCTTTCCTCCTCTAAATAAAAAATGTATGATGGAGCAGACTATCCACGACCTCAGACACAAAACTCCTTCTCTTGCATGTTTCCGCCGTCCATAGAGTTCCTTGACAGTGTTGTTGCTAAGTGCTACTTGGTCCCAATGTAATTTCCCATTGGGAACCCCCCTTGATAAATAACCAATCACATTCACTTTATTCACTCTTGTAAAGTAGGGCACCATTTGGGAGAATTCGGAAATGCAACGGTTGGAACAGCCGTTTCCCTACGACTAAAAATTCCATCTATTGTCTTTTTCCTACATAAAATGTATACTTCTGGTTTTCAACTTGTCCTTAAGTATTTAATTCCTTGCTGATTTATAAAGCAAAGCCTTCTATCATGCTTCTTTATCTACAATTTTACCATTATATTTTCTATTTGCAGAATAGTTAATATGGACCAAAAAAGAAGACAGAAAAGAGGTGAAATGATACACAGATTATAGGTCTAAAACGTATAGGCTGTCGGTGTGTTTATCTTGTGTTTCTAGAGGTAATGATGCTGATTAATGGCTTAATCAATGTCTTGCTCAATAGACTTCTACATCAAGTATATCTTTGTGTCAAACTAGTGTGCAGTAAATTGATTTTGTGCATCCAGATATATATGACTTTATCTTATTCGCAGCAGCAACTAACAATTGATTTTGATATTATAAACTAAGTCAATTTTGGTATTATAAACTCACCAAATTTGGAGAAATAGATTGAATTTGATTGTGTCACTTGTTTTGGATCTTGGCAACAGTTATGTCTTTTAGTAACAACAAGCCTAAACACATATCAAAATAGTAGTGGGCAAAGTAATGTAATGTTTTTCAGTTCTCACCTTAAATGTACTCAAAATCTGTTGTTTTTGCTTCTCTGGGTTTGTGAAAGGAAACCAACCATTATAAAATAGTTTCTGATAAGAAGAATTGTAAAATATAACATTAAATTTATGCCAAGACCTTGCCTTGTAAGACTGTGGCACAGAAGGTAGAAGTATGTCCCTTAACTAGTGGGTCACTGGCTTGAATTTATGCTCCATGTGTCTCATTTGCTGTCCTTGAGCAAGGCACTTCATCTGCTTTGCCAGCTGATGGTGATCCGAAGGCCCAGTGGCACCAATTGTATTTTAGCTCCACTACTGTCTGTCCTTGGACTTGATTAAAAACTCTATAGAAGTGCAGGCAGTTCATGGCTACAAACAGCATGTGGCTTCTTTTTAGCATCATTTGGCCATTAGACCAAGTATAAGTGGGTGTATGGTACTTCTTCACTTTTAGGGATAATTATGGCTCTATGGGTTAGAACTAAACTAAATTCAAATTTTAAAGGGTTTTTATTTTTTATTGCATGTCAACTTCTCTCTGTCCTCAATAAACTCTTGTCTATACACATACTAATGACTCAATGAAGTCTATTATTCCCTGGAAGGGCATCCTTTAGCAGATGCATTGGGACTGTTCAGAATTAATCTGCAGTCTCTGTCTGCATTGCTAACATCAAACTGAATATCTCATTCACAGCACTGAGTGCAGATCATCAGTGGTTCATTCTCTG